TTAGCCAACAGTATCAATTTGTCCCAGTGGGATCAGAGACCTTTGGATCATGGGGAAAAAATGCCACACGTTTCCTTAAAGAACTGGGTTCCAGACTCATCGACACCACCAGGGACCCAAGGGCAGCCGCTTTCATGTTCCAACGCCTCAGCGTAGCCATCCAGAGGGAAAATGCTTGCTGCATACTTGGCTCGCATCCAGCCTCGGAGGAGCTGGAGGAAATTCATGATCTTTGATACACTGTGCCATTTTATTCATGTTTTTTTTTTGTAAATGTATTCTGTTTATTAATAAATGTTCACATAGAATATAAAATATATAGGGGGTGGTAGGAGAAGAAAATATTCAAACAGCTCCGGGGAGAACCTTGAGTTTTCCCTGAGGTACGTTTATTGTCTTCTCTGAGGATGAGGGTCCCCATTTCAGCTATAGAGGTGGTACTTCCCTATATATTATTAAATATGTATATATATATATATATATATATATAATATATATATATATATATATATATATATATATATATATATATATATATATATATATATACATATATATATATATATATATATATATATATATATATATATATATATATATATATATATATATATATATATATATATATATATATATATATATATATATATATATATATATATATATATATATATATATATATATATATATATATATATATATATATATATATATATATATATATATATATATATATATATGATTTTAGAAATGCCTTTAATATGGTGAGGAGAGATGCTGTTTTGCCAGCTGTTCGGGTTCGGTTCCCCAGTCTCTTTCCCTTCATTTCAGCCGGCTACAGCAAACCCTCAATTCTTTTGTTTGGAGAACATGAAATTCAATCATCAGAGGGTGTTCAGCAGGGTGACCCACTTGCTCCACTTCTCTTCTGCTTGGCAGTAAGAGAACTAACTTCCAGCCTACGCAGTGAGCTCAATATATGGTACCTGGATGACGGCACTCTGGCAGGTACTAAAGAGTCCCTCGTGGGGGACCTACAACTGGTGAAAACACAGGGAGAAGGCTTGGGACTCATCCTCAATCCCTCTAAGTGTGAAATCATCACAGCAAACCAGGAAATAATCAATGCTGTGCGAAGAATCCTCCCGGAAATCTCAACTACAACTCCGTCCAACAGTACCCTCTTGGGGGCACTGCTGGGTCACCAGGCCATCGATACTGTCCTCAGGGACAAATTGAATGACCTTATGAGAATGGAGGAGAGAATAAGCGATCTTGATGCCCATGATGCTCTGTATCTCCTCACAAGGTGTCTTACTATGCCAAGACTCACTTACTTCTTGAGGTGTGCACCCTCTTTTGACTACACCTGTGCTGCCACATTGGCAGACACCTACTTGCCATACTCTGTAGTGGAAGGGGGTGGAGCTGCCAGCCACAGGGAGACCCAGAAGATCCGAAAATATGAAGACCTTCCCCCTTGCTATAACTTCATTCCAATAGGGTCGGAGACCCTTGGAGCATGGGGCAAGTGTGCTCTAAAGTTCCTCAAAGAGCTGGGTGAAAAGCTCATCATAGAAACCAAGGACCACAGGGCGACCAGCTTCCTCTTTCAGAGACTCAGTGTTGCGATCCAGAGAGGAAATGCCTGCAGCATTCTGGGCACGCGGCCCACCGCAGGGAGCTGGACGAAGTATTCGAGATGTACCTCTGAGTTACCTATGTTGTTTTACTTTGTATCATATTTTTGTGAATGTTTCGTCAATGTATTTTGTCTTTAAATAAAAATTATATATATATATATATATATATATATATATATATATATATATATATATATATATATATATATATATATATATATATATATATATATATATATACAACCCCATCTATAATATATTTATAGATGGGGTTGTAAAAGAAGTAAATGCTAGGGTGTTCGGGAGAGGGGTGGGATTAAATTATGGGGAATTAAATACAAAATGGGAAGTGACACAGTTGCTTTTTGCTGATGATACTGTGCTTATGGGAGATTCTAAAGAAAAATTGCAAAGGTTAGTGGACGAGTTTGGGAATGTGTGTAAAGGTAGAAAGTTGAAAGTGAACATAGAAAAGAGTAAGGTGATGAGAGTATAAAATGATTTAGATAAAGAAAAATTGGATATCAAATTGGAGAGGAGGAGTATGGAAGAAGTGAATGTTTTCAGATATTTGGGAGTTAACGTGTCAGCGGATGGATTTATGAAGGATGAGGTTAATCATAGAACTGATGAAGGAAAAAAAGGTTAGTGGTGCATTGAGGTATATGTGGAGACAAAAAGTTATCTATGGAGGCAAAGAAGGGAATGTATGAGAGTATAGTAGTACCAACACTCTTATATGGGTGTGAAGCTTGGGTTGTAAATGCTGCAGCAAGGAGGCGGTTGGAGGCAATGGAGATGTCCTGTCTAAGAGCAATGTGTGGTGTAAATATTATGCAGAAAATTCGGAGTGCGGAAATTAGGAGAAGGTGTGGAGTTAATAAAAGTATTAGTCAGAGGGCTGAAAAGGGGTTGTTGAGGTGGTTTGGTCATTTAGAGAGAATGGATCAAAGTAGAATGACATGGAGAGCGTATAAATCTGTAGGGGAAGGAAGGCGGGGTAGGGGTCGTCCTCGAAAAGGCTGGAGGGAGGGGGTAAAGGAAGTGTTGTGGGCGAGGGGCTTGGACTTCCAGCAAGCGTGCGTGACCGTGTTAGATAGGAGTGAATGGAGATAAATGGTATTTGGGACCTGACGATCTGTTGGAGTGTGAGCAGGGTAATATTTAGTGAAGGGATTCAGGGAAACCGGTTATTTTATATAACCGGACTTGAGCCCTGGAAATGGGAAGTACAATGCCTGCACTCTAAAGGAGGGGTTTGGGATATTGGCAGTTTGGAGGGATATATTGTGTATTTTTATACGTATGTACTTCTAAACTGTTGTATTCTGAGCACCTCTGCAAAAACAGTGATTATGTGTGAGTGAGGTGAAAGTGTTGAATGATGATGAAAGTATTTTCTTTTTAGGGATTTTCTTTCTCTTTGGGTCACCCTGCCTCGGTGGGAGACGGCCGACTTGTTGAAAAAAAAAATTATACATATATATATATATATATATATATATATATATATATATATATATATATATATATATATATATATAATATATATATATATATATATATATAATATATATATATAATATATATATATATATATATATATATATAAATTAATATATATATATATATATATATAATATATATATATATATATATATATATATATATAATATATATATATATATATAATATATATATATATATATATATATATATATATATATATATATATATATATATATATATATATATATATATATATATATATATATATATATATAAATATATATATATATATATATATATATATATATATAATATATATATATATATATATATATATATTTACATATATATATCTTAAATATTATAATAATATACTATATATATATGTTATATTATTATATATTTACATATAAACTCTTTAAATGTTGATATGCTGCAAGGTGAATCGACTTAACTTAATGTTTTGTACTGCTTGTTTGATAAATATAAAAGATTCCTCTTAAGTTGGTGATTTACTCTGTGTTTATATGTTTGAATTGATTTTGGACTGTGTTATGCTAATATGACTTATATGAGTAATGTATATAAATTCTGTGTAACTGAGTTACCTGAGGCTTTAACAATTGTAACTGAGAACCTTACGCTAAATTATACTGAATTAAGAGATTATCCGACTGTGTAATTGCAATACATCATGAACTGAGATACCTGAGGCTGTGGTAATGCAATACTGATGTAACTGAGATACCTGAGGCTGTGGTAATGCAATACTGATGTAACTGAGATACCTGAGGCTGTGGTAATGCAATACTGATGTAACTGAGATACCTGAGGCTGTGGTAATGCAATACTGATGTAACTGAGATACCTGAGGCTGTGGTAATGCAATACTGATGTAACTGAGATACCTGAGGCTGTGGTAATGCAATACTGATGTAACTGAGATACCTGAGGCTGTGGTAATGCAATACTGATGTAACTGAGATACCTGAGGCTGTGGTAATGCAATACTGATGTAACTGAGATACCTGAGGCTGTGGTAATGCAATACTGATGTAACTGAGATACCTGAGGCTGTGGTAATGCAATACTGATGTAACTGAGATACCTGAGGCTGTGGTAATGCAATACTGATGTAACTGAGATACCTGAGGCTGTGGTAATGCAATACTGATGTAACTGAGATACATGAGGCTGTGGTAATGCAATACTGATGTAACTGAGATACCTGAGGCTGTGGTAATGCAATACTGATGTAACTGAGATACCTGAGGCTGTGGTAATGCAATACTGATGTAACTGAGATACCTGAGGCTGTGGTAATGCAATACAGATGTAACTGAGATACCTGAGGCTGTGGTAATGCAATACTGATGTAACTGAGATACCTGAGGCTGTGGTAATGCAATACTGATGTAACTGAGATACCTGAGATATCTGAGGCTGTGGTAATGCAATACAGATGTACTTTTCTCAGATGATACAGTGACCGAAATGCATTAATATTTTGCTGTGCCTCTTATTGGTTATTTCAACAATGATGACTGAGTCAAGGGCTTATAATCCTTATTTGTTCTTACATGAAAGCTGCCTTAAATGAACTTTACAGGATACGCAATGTGGTCTCTCTGTGTATAATACTTTAAGTACACTTACTAAAATACGATGTATCAAACATGCTTTAAGTAAACAAGGGAATCACTTCTTGACCTTATAGGATATAAAGTATGGTCTCTGTGTGTAGGATGCTGTGAGTGACCTTATCAAAATATGGTGTCCGTGCATTGACTGAACTTACTACGATATAAAATGCATTCTCATTATTTAAGATATCTTGAGCGAGCTTACCAGGATATGGAGAGAAGTCTCTGTGCGTAGGATGTCTTCAGCAAACTTCCTGACGGAGGTCAGGTCTGAGGTGTCTACCTGCCGCACTACCACATCTGTGTTGCCTGTAGTCTTCTTGATGTCCTCTGTAAATGATGGCAAAAAGATCGAGATCAAGTACATCTTTACTGAGAAAGTAAATACAAAGTGGTTATTACGTTATTCCAACTTTAACAAATAAAACTGCCTTATAAATCCAAAAATCGCTAAATAACTCAAACATGTTGTCTGTGATTAGTGATAAAATTATTAATGCAGTGGTAATGATAGTAATAATATTTTAAAATAAGGATGACATAACGATATTTATAATAATGATTATATTGTAAAACTAGTGTAATTTAGCGTCTGGAATAAACTATTAGTAAATGCCACCTTCGGCAATTTTTTTTGAAAAGTAAACATCAGTAGTGTGCTGCATCTATACTCTGTTATAACATCAGCAGAAACAGAATCTTTCTATGTTATCATGGGCAGCAACAATGTGGATTCGAATGCTTATTATCTTATCTGGAACAGCCACCTGTCACTCACAGTGTAAGATGGTTATGATGAGACCTTGACCAGTACTGTCTAGTGCCTTATGCTATGATTTACAACACACAGTAAGTTGTGCCTACGTGTGTGTTATGTATGGTACCTGTGTGACATGAATAATAGTGGTGGTATCAACGGTAGTGCAGAGGACCTGGCTCACCTGTCTTGATTTAGATGGAGTGTTATAGTTTTTCTATGGTGTTAAAGTTTACCCATGGTGTTAAAGTTTACGTATGGTGTTAAAGTTTACCCATGGTGTTAAAGTTTACCCATGGTGTTAATGTTTACCCATGGTGTTAAAGTTTACCCATGGTGTTAAAGTTTACCCATGGTGTTAAAGTTTACCCATGGTGTTAAAGTTTACCCATGGTGTTAAAGTTTACCCATGGTGTTAAAGTTTACGTATGGTGTTAAAGTTTACCCATGGTGTTAAAGTTTACCCATGGTGTTAAAGTTTACGTATGGTGTTAAAGTTTACCCATGGTTGTTTAAAGTTTACGTTTGGTGTTAAAGTTTACCATGGTGTTAAAGTTTACCATGGTGTTAAAGTTTACCCATGGTGTTAAAGTTTACGTATGGTGTTAAAGTTTACGTATGGTGTTAAAGTTTACCCATGGTGTTAAAGTTTACGTATGGTGTTAAAGTTTACCCATGGTGTTAAAGTTTACCCATGGTGTTAAAGTTTACCCATGGTGTTAAAGTTTACCCATGGTGTTAAAGTTTACCCATGGTGTTAAAGTTTACCCATGATGTTAAAGTTTACCCATGGTGTTAAAGTTTACCCATGGTGTTAAAGTTTACCCAAGGTGTTAAAGTTTACCCATGGTGTTAAAGTTTACCCATGGTGTTAAAGTTTACCCATGGCTCATCAGTAATAGATGCCGAAGAGGAGCAAAACAAGAAAATCCCTTATTTTTTCAAGGGAATACCCCCATGAAACCCCGTAGGCCTTTGGAAATCACCTCTTATCATATCTTAAGAACCAAATATGTTATATGGCACGAGAAATCTGATTTCTCAACTTTCTTTCACTGATAACCTTACAGGAAACACATTAGATCGCTATTTTTACATTAAAAAATCTGTGAAAGATATGATAATCAGTATTTCAAATGAGATCAAAATGACCATCCTGAGTTGATATACAGTGTAGTAAGATAGAATAAATAACGTGCTCATTTCTGAGCATCCTGGTCGGGCTTATTTACTGAGCAGTACTTAAACAAGTGCAGTAACTCATGTTTACTCTCCACATTCACGTTCACTACTTTAACAGTGTCATGAGTTAGGTTCGGTTTTGTTTGGCTTGTTAATATTTTGTTAGATTAGGTTATCTATGGTTTGTCATGATTTGTTTTTATTTAGTTAAATTTGATTAAGATATGTTCGGATGGATTTAGTTCGAGTTTTTACTGACATTACCAATCACATTTAATTCTGTGTAATAACTTGAGAATGATTCTTCGTAACACTGTTACATTTACTTAGTGGAAAGTTAGGATTGATTTTGGATTTCTTAGCAATAACTATAAATATTTCTGCACATAGGCTTCAAGCTTATAAAGCTTATGTATCTCTCGTTAAGAAAGGATTGGATTTTATTGGGCCAATATGCAAATTTTATTTAATAAGCTAATATGCCGATTTTAATAAAAAAAAAGTGTGGGTTATTTACCTCTCTGGGGAAATAAGAATTGGAATATCAAGCTGAAAAACAGAACTGTTATGTCGTGTTTACTACACTATATTAATAGCAATAAAATATATATTGAGTTACATTATGCTTTCCGCAGTAATTTAAGAAATATAAGGTTATTCAAGCCTTTAATTATATCTAAAAATCCTATACTCTATTATGTTTCCATGCATAGAAGACCAGATTCCATGAGTGGGATTCATAAGTACAAATGCGTATAAAATCCTACACAGCCAACCTTTTCTATCTGATTTGTCTCATATTCGGTGTAGTTCAAGCTCCTGAGCCTTCTGAGGATACTGATCTATATTGTCAATGCCTCTTGAGAGATCTGTTCTACAGGTTCTGGGTTTTTGAGAGAGTTAAACTGTAGATAAAAATCCTTTACAAAAAATCAATGTATTTCAAAAGACCTAAAATCTGGAACACCCTACCTGAAAACTCTAGAACTGCAGACACATTCATCACTTTCAAAACTACAGTTAGAAAACATCTTATCTCCCTGATCCACCCTGACAACTAACTACATGATAACCACCTGGTGGTTCACAATTACATTCACTCACCCACTGACTATAAACCCAGAAATACTAATCTTAATCTTAAAATAATAAATCCTAACTAGTCATAAGTTTGCTTATGATACTCAAATATAGACACTTTGTATTGTGCCAAAACAAAAGCATTCACATTGCTAAACTCAAAAATTATGATGAAGTCACTTAGCCTTAATATTATAATCTGTAATGGTTTAATGTTAAGAATTAATCTAAGTCTGCTCGAAATGCCTAGCCATGCTAGGTGTCCTAGTGGCCCCCTCTGTAATTAGTATTTTATAACATGTAAACCACAAAATACCCAAAACCTGTAAACCCCACATTGTAACCATTATAGAGAATAAACTTGAACTGAATTGAATTGAATTGAATTATAAGCTGTGAGCTGTAGATCGTGGACATCTTTAGAGAATTATGACTATTATAATGGTATGCAATGTCAACAAGGTGAGGGATCAGACACATGTGTTACACTTGGCTATCTTTATCTAAAGAAATTCCTGCAACACTGTCTTTACCAGTTCAGTACAGAGATATGAGCACAGTAGAATATAAGGTATCAGTCCCTCAGTCTTGCTGAATAATACACAGAAGACAGAATATGAGACAGTTAGTCCCTCAACTTTTTCTGTCTTTGCATATATTTTCTGTACTGGAGTGAAACGTTACTGAATGGCGAAACATCTTCAAATAAAGATACCCAGGTGTGACACTGTAACCCTTGGACTACCCAAGGGATGGGTCCGGGGTGCATAATACACTAACTCCTTCCAGATACCTGTGAAGCAATAACATGTTAAGCTGTCCCAGAACACTGACGTGCAAGTTGCTACTAACTGAACACCGACTTGAATGTTAAGATTTCACTAAACCCTACCTTGAATGTTAACAAGTTCACTGAACTCTGGCTGGAATGTTAGGATGTTCAGTGAACTTTGGCTTGAATGTTAAGATGTTAACTAAAATTCTGTGTGAATGTTAAGATATTCACTGAATTCTGGCTTGAAAGTTAAGACAACAAGTTGTGGGCACTTGACAACAAGTTGTGGGCACTTGACAACAAGTTGTGAACACTTCACAAGAAGTTGTGAGCACTTCACAAGAAGTTGTGAGCACTTCACAACAAGTTGTGAACACTTCACAACAAGTTGTGAACACTTCACAAGAAGTTGTGAGCACTTCACAAGAAGTTGTGAGCACTTCACAACAAGTTGTGAACACTTCACAACAAGTTGTGAACACTTCACAAGAAGTTGTGAGCACTTCACAAGAAGTTGTGAGCACTTCACAACAAGTTGTGAACACTTCACAAGAAGTTGTGAGCACTTCACAAGAAGTTGTGAGCACTTCACAACAAGTTGTGAACACTTCACAAGAAGTTGTGAGCACTTCACAAGAAGTTGTGAGCACTTCACAACAAGTTGTGAACACTTCACAACAAGTTGTGAACACTTCACAAGAAGTTGTGAGCACTTCACAATAATTATAGTTATACAAGTTGTGAACATTCACAACAAGTTGTGAACACTTCACAACAAGTTGTGAACACTTCACAACAAGTTGTGAACACTTCACAACAAGTTGTGAACACTTCACAACAAGTTGTGAACACTTCACAACAAGTTGTGAACACTTCACAACAAGTGCACAGTTTAACACTTGAATATTATTCTCGTTTAACGAGGATAAATTAATTTCAGTTTATTACTTCTGAACAACTTTTTTATTTAATGGCTGATAAATCTGACACTTTTGTTTGTGTTAGTAAATTTGTCAGCACAGTAAAAGAGTCAATAAAACTTGGACTCCATGTTATAACTGCAGAATGACTCATCTGATCGGCATCAAATTTTTACCAATATTGTGGTTTACTGAAGGTGAAGTTCGTGCTCTTATTGGCTGATATAAATCAACGTTTACCAGTTTTATTTAAAAGATAGTTATATTTATATTCAATATCTAAGGAATGCTGCTTCAGACTGGCTTCAAATCTTAATCATTGGTGCAGCTTAATTTAAAGTATTTTTGTATTGCTTTATGGGTTGTCTGGGGGTAAATTATCAAATGTTTTAAACAAATTTTATTATATTAGATTTTATTAAAAATATTCCAATCAAATTATTTTTTCTTATTCGATAATAGTGATTTTTAAATCGTATATAAATAAGAAAAGAATAAACTTCAGTATTTTCATAACATTATCAGAAACATTCTATTTTTCTTTCAACAAATTTTAGCTTAAAACTTGAGAACGTCTTACTCGCTCGGTTTCAAACTTTCAATGGTGATGTACTGTAAATAAGACAAGATTCCTGGTATTATTTACTGTCCTGGATGTCTGATCGACAATTTTACATTGGTTATTCCCACATTTTATTTCCATGTGATAACTGGAGAAAATTCAAGACTCGTGTTTGTTACTGAGAAGAAAGTTGTTCTTGTTAGATCTATCTTCATACTTTCTATTTTTAAATGTTATACCATTATCAAAAATTTTTCATTACTTTACCTTGATGCTGGTAAGAGGTTCTTGATCCAAGGACTTGAACTTATCCTGCATTTTCATACATTGCATTTAAATGATTAACATTTTACAAGTGTTATATGACCCTTACTGTTTTAGTGCTTTCCCTCCAGTAAAATATAACAACTCTGATTAACATCAAATATCAGGAAATTTGTTTTGCGTTAGTCTGTGTTGACTAACAAAAGTCTGATTCTGTGAGGTAGCTGTTGAACGCTTCTTCAGGTTGGTTTGAAACTTACACTGCTGACCTGTTATCCTCAAAGCTTCGTTTTAACTTAAAGTTAAGTAAGTTTTAATGTGGCAGTTCTATTAATTAAGTTGGTTCTGTGAAATAATTGGAGAAAGTCTCTTGTGGTCAGAAACAGATCAGTGTGACTTTATTGATCTTAAGTTAAATTAACATAATTGTTATATATGTGCACATAACATCTGTGTGCTCAAGAACTATGTAAAAAATGAGTACATTATGTACCAATATTTTTAATGATAATGAACTAATTACTTACATGCATATTTACTTTAACCTTATACGCTGCTACAAGTCAGCTAGAGGAAAGTTTGGACTGATTTAGTCCTGGGTTGGTCCTAATTTGCTTTTTTTTGTAGAATAAATTAGAGGAAATTTAAAAAAATATTTTCATATGATAATTTGTGAGTCCTCACACAATTACCTTCATCTTCAACGTTGTTAACTTTATAATGCAAACTTTGATCAACTTCAAACTTAATGAACTATTGTGTTGTAGGATATTGTAGTAACTTAGATAACAAGACAATACCTCTTCAGTATGGCTTCAAAACTGATGATTCTCAGTAGTATGATAGAATTAGTTCAGGGCTAATATGTCTTAATTTGCCCTTATAATCCAAGAAATTGTAATATTAGTGTCCATGTGAAAACTTGTGAATGCCAAACGTGATTTGCTTCAGGTCATCAACACTAATACTTAACTGCATTATAAACTTATCCCGCACTCTGCACTAATTATTCTGGCTGTATTGACGTATATGGGACAGAAGTTAAGCAATATAAGGATATCTTTCATGAACTGCAGAGCCACCGTGTGGAAACACTTTTACTAAATTTTCCCGTTAGTATGACAAAATAACAGAGGAAAACTTAGCTTGGTTTTGTAGTCCAGATTTTAGCAGCATCTCTCTGGATCTGACCTCAACGTAACTACAGATGATTCCACAGAAGGCTGAAGAGATGGAGTAACTTGGTTAACTTTGCCCCGAAGGAGCGTATATGTCAAGTATTTCACATCTGCCTTGAAATGTGACAGGTTCTTCATGTTTGTTGGGCGTATCTCCATTAGATCATGAGGTCTGTTAGTAACCCCAATCAAATCCATTATCTACCTATTAGCTGCAGCAAACACTAGCCAATATGTGTTTAACCGGACTTACTTGGGTATTGTAACTGACCCAAATGCCCCAAGCATCTAGTAGGGAATGTTCAGTGACCTCAAAAATGATGGCTTGAGTAGGCTGCTTCCCCTGATACATCGCAATAATGTCCTATCACTCGCAACGCGTCGGTACAGTCACTTTTGTCTATCACCATTCGTATTGTCCACGGAAGGTAGAAATTTCCCCAATGTTCGATTATGCCTGGGTGAACACAGCGGAACATGTTAAACACACTTTATCGTGACTTTACCATGGATTACGTCACTCGTATTTGCATTACTTTACTTCCTAGTGGAGATTGTCAGTATTTCAGAGTCAACGACCACGATCTTTACCGCTGTCATTGTCCTCTGTGGGAGGTTCTGTGACTTCTGAGCACTGCGGAGCGCTGTACCTCCTTATCCTACAAAGGAAATGCTGACTTCAGCTTTATAGACATTCTCTGCTAGCTTTTGCAACAGAGTTCAACACAAAAGAGCTGTTTTCTTGTTGTTCAGCTGTGATCTGGAAGTCATAATACCCTTACCTTGTTTATCAGGTATCAGATGTTTTCCTTTGGATTTTACTTGTCATAGGGAATGAGCAACTGATCCAGGCTTAACCTCATATTTGCAATTGTTCAGAGATTCTAGTAAGGAGCAGAGAATGCCCTGACATCAGAAGCCTCTTCTGAGAGAGCTAGGCCCCTCAGAGGGCTGAAGGGGCTGAGAGTTATCCCATCCCTTTCCAAACTGGAGTTAATTCTCAACACAAAGAAAAAATCTAGTTATTAAATATAAATAAAACATTAACATTACAATAACATTAATATAAAAAAACATGTAAAGTGTGATATGCAACTTCAGATCAGACTGACCTGCAATTCTCTCAGCTTTCTCAACATTACGACAAGCAAGGATGACCCGGGCGCCTCGCTGAGCCAAGTCCCGAGCTGTCTCCTTCCCGATACCTGTCAAACATTACTATGTTAAGTTGTCTCCTTCCCGATACCTGTCAAACATTACTATGTTAAGTTGTCTCCTTCCCGATACCTGTAAAACATTACTATGTTAAGTTGTCTTCTTCCCGATACCTGTCAAACATTACTATGTTAAGTTGTCTTCTTCCCGACATCTGTGAAACATTAGTATGTTAAGTTGTCTTATTATTACCAAGTTATTTCCTTCCTGATACTTTTGGGTCCAGTCCCAGGACCCATTATGTGACACTGTAACCCTTGGACTACCCAAGGGATGGGTCCGGGGTGCATAATACACTAACTCCTTCCAGATACCTGTGAAGCAATAACATGTTAAGCTGTCCCAGAACACTGACGTGCAAGTTGCTACTAACTGAACACCGACTTGAATGTTAAGATTTCACTAAACCCTACCTTGAATGTTAACAAGTTCACTGAACTCTGGCTGGAATGTTAGGATGTTCAGTGAACTTTGGCTTGAATGTTAAGATGTTCACTGAAATCTCGTTCAAATGTTAAACTGTTCATTGAACAGTAGTTTAGACGTAAAGCCGTTTACGGAACACTGATTTACATGAAAAAGTGTTCACTGAACACTGATTTACATATTAAAATATTCAATGAACACTGATTTCTATGGTTAAATTGTCCACTGAAAAGTGATTTACACGTTAGCTTGTTAACTGAACACTGATTTGCATGTTAAGTTGTTCGCTGAACACTGACTGACATGTCAAGTTGCTCAATGAACAATGGCTGACATGTTAAGTTGCTCACTGAACACTGGCTGACATGTTAAGTTGTTCACTGAACACTGGCTGACATGTTAAGTTGTTCATTTAACACTGGCTGACATGTTAACTTGTTCACTGAACACTGGCTGACATATAAGGTTGTTTACTGAACACAAGCTGCCATACTAAGTTGTTAATTGAACACTGGCTTACATGTTAAGATGTTTACTGAACACTGGCTGATATGTTAAGGTGTTCACTGAACACTGGCTTATATGTTAAGTTGCACACTATACACTGGCTTACATGTTAGATTGTTCATTGAACCCTAGATTACATGTTACATATTGTTCACTGAACAATGACTGACAAGTTGTTCAATGAACACTGGCTGACATGTTAAGTTATTCACTGAACACAGGCTGATATGATAAATTGCTCAATGAACACTCGCGGATATGTTCAATTATTCGCTGAACGCTGGTTGACATGTCAGGTTATTCACTGAACACAGGCTGACATGTTAAGTTGCTCATTGAACACTGGCTTACATGTTAAGTTGTTCAGTGAATACTGGCTGATATGTTAAGGTGTTCACTGAAGACTGGCTTACATGTTAAGTTATTCACTGAACACAGGCTGACATGATAAATTGCTCAATGAACACTCGCGGGCATGTTCAATTATTCACTGAACGCTGGCTGACATGTCAGGTTATTCACTGAACACTGGCTGACATGTTGAGTTGTTAATTGAACCCTACCTTACATATTAAGTAGGTCACTGAACACTGGCTGATACGTTAAGTTGTTCACTGAACACTGAGTGACATGTTAAATTGTCCAATAAACACTGGCTGACATGTTATGTTGTTCACTAAACGCTATCTGACATGTTAAGTTGTTCACTGAAAACTGGCTGACATGTTAAGTTGTTCACTGAACACTGGTTATCATGTTAATTTGTTCACTGAACACTGGCTGACATGTTAATTTGTTCACAGAACACTGGCTCACATGTCAAGTTGTTCACTGGACACTGGGTGACATGTTAAGTTGTTCACTGAACACTGGTTGATATGTTAAGTTGTTCACTGAACACTGGCTGACATGTTAAGTTGTTCACTGAACACTAACTCACATGTTAAGTTGTTCACTGAAAACTAGCTGACATATTAAGTTGTTCACTGAACACTGCCAACAATGTTAATTTGTTCACTGAACACTATCTGACATGTTAATTTGTTCACTGAACACTGGCTAACATGTTAAGTTTTTCACTGAAATCTGGCTAACATGTTAATTTGTTCACTGAACACTGGCTGACATGTTAAGTTGTTCACTGAACACTGGCTGACATGTTAAGTTGTTCACTGAACACTGGCTGACATGTTAAGTTGTTCACTGAACACTGGCTGACATGTTAAGTTGTTCACTGAACACTGGCTGACATGTTAAGTTGTTCACTGGACACTTGCTGACATGTTAAATTGTTCATTTAACACTGGCTCACATGCTATGTTGCTCACTGAACACTGGCTTACATAAGTTGCTCACTGAACGCTGTCTTACATGTTAAGTTGTTCACTTAACAGTTGCTGACATGTTAAATTGCTCACTGAACACTGATTTATATAACATGTCATTCACTGAACACCGGCAGACATGTTATATTGTTCACTGATAACTGGCTAACATGTTAACTTGCCCACTGAACACTGGTTTACATGTTAAGTTGTTCAATGAACACTGGCTGACATGTTAAGTTGTTGACTGAAAACTGGCTGACATGTTAAGTTGCTCACTGATCACTGACTCACATGCTAACTTGTTCACTGAATACTGACTAACATAAATTGTTCATTGAACACTGGTTGACATATTAGGTTATTTACTGAACACTGGCTGCCATGCTAAGTTGTTAATTGAACACTGGCTTGCATGTTAAGATGTTTACTGATTACTGGCTGATATGTTAAGGTGTTCACTGAACACTGGCTTATAGGTTAAGTTGAACACTATACACTGGCTTACATGTTAGATTGTTCATTGAACCCTAGGTTACATGTTACATGCTGTTCACTGAACAATGATTGACAAATTAAATTGTTCAATGAACACTGGCTAACATGTTAAGTTATTCACTGAACACAGGCTGACATGATAAATTGCTCAAGGAACCCTCGCGGACATGTTCAGTTATTCACTGAGCACTGGCTGACAAGTCAGGTTATTCACTGAACACTGGGTGACATGTTAAGTTGTTCACTGGACACTAGCTTACATGTTAAGTTTTTTAAGAGAACACTGGCTGATATGTTAAGGTGTTCACTGAACACTGGCTTACACGTTATGTTGTTCACTAAACACTGGCTTACATGTTAAGTTGTTAATTGAACCCTGCCTTACATATTAAGTAGTTCACTGAACACTGACTGATATGTTAAGATGTTCACTGAACATTGAGTGATATGTTACATAAGTTGTTCACTGAACACTGGCTCACATATTAAATTGGATGTGTTCACTGAGAACATCCTGACATGTTAAGTTGTTCACTGAACACTAATTTACATGTTTAGTTGTTCCCTGAACTCTGTCTCACATGTTAAATTGTTCACTGAGTACTGCGTGACACGTTACGTTGTTCACTGAACACTGGCTGATATGTTACTGGCTGACACGTTAAGCTGTTCAATAAACCTGGAAGACATGTTTAGTCGTTCAATGAACACTGGCTGACACGTTAAGTTGCTCACTGGACATTAGATGACACGTTAAGTTGCTCACTTAACACTCGTTTATATTTTAAATTGTTCACTGAACACTTGCTGACGTGTTAAGTTGTTCACCGAACACTGGCCGGCATGCCGACTTGCTCACTGAAAGCTGGCTGACATGATAAGTTGTTCAGTGAACACTGGCTTACACGTTAAGTTGTTCACTGAGCACTGGCTCGCATGATACATTGCTCACTGAACACTGGTTGACACGATCAGTTGTTCAATGAAAACTGGCTGACGTATCAAGCTGTTCACTAAACACCTGTTGACATGTTAATTTGCTCAATGAACACAGGCTGTCATGTTATGTTCTACACTGAACTCTGGCTGACATGCTAAGTTGTTCACTGTACACTGGCTGACATGTTAAATTGTTCACTGAACACTGGCTAACGTGTTAAATTATTTACTGAACACTGGCTGAGATGTTAAGTTGTTCACTAAACACTAACTGACTTTATGTAAAGTAAAAGGACACAAGTGCAACTAATGTGACATTTATTGTGGCAACGTTTCGCTCTCCAGGAGCTTTATCAAGCCATTACAAACAATACATGGAAACAGAGGGTATATAAAGGCTCTGAGTGAGGTGCAATACTAGTGAGGTAACATTTCGATGTTCACTAGTGGTGGTAGTAGTAGTAGTAGTAGTAGTAGTAGTAGTAGTAGTAGTAGTAGTAACAAAAATAATACAATATGGAAGAGCAATTAATTCGTACATGAGTAAAAGGATATAAAAGCTATTACTTGGGTAACATAAAAATAGGTTGGACAAATATAGACTGGAAAGAGGCAGTTTTTTTTTTTTTTTTTTTTTTTTTTTTTCAGTGTTCACTCTCTGTAATGTGCTTTGTGTAGTATAACAGGAGAGACTATGTGATGGCAGGGTTTTGTTTTCAGGAGGATTCTTGCTAAGACTTCAGAGATGGTGAAGCTGCCGTTGTTTTTTTTAATTGTATTCGAAACAGCGATCAGTGCTGATTCAAGGCACTTTCGTTGCGCAAGTGTCTTGAATCAGCACTGATCGCTGTTTCGAATACAATTAAACAAAACAACGGCAGCTTCACCATCTCCGAAGTCTTAGCAAGAATCCTCCTGAAAACAGTAAACCCTGCCATCACATAGTCTCTCCTGTTATACTACACAAAGCACATTACAGAGTGAACACTGAAAAAAAAAAAAAAAAAAAAAAAAAAACCTGCCTCTTTCCAGTCTATATTTGTCCAACCTATTTTTATGTTACCCAAGTAATAGCTTTTATATCCTTTTACTCATGTACGAATTAATTGCTCTTCCATATTGTATTATTTTTGTTACTACTACTCCCTGATATCATTGAGTATACATAGTGTATAGTGTATACTACAGTGGCTCCCTAGTATATTGATGATAAAAGCTAAAGTGTCATTTGAAAACAGGTGAATTTGTAAATGAAGTGATAAGCCTATAGAGGAAGGTGCCAGAAGTCGCCAGAAACTTACCACAGGTCAGCTGTTTTTAATAATCTTCCTGGCCTGCTAGTGTACTCGCATAT